TATATATATATATATATATATATATATACACACCATTATATATAATTATACCAGTAGCTGACTCCTTATGTTGTTCTGAGACAAAATCAAATAATACGTGTAAAGTATAGACACAACGTTTTGGAACATTTGAATCATTCAGTTATGACGAAGAGAGACAGTGTAGGATAGCTGTTTAAATTAGGGACTATGGAGACAGAGTACTCCACTTGGGATACAAGGGTTGGCTCTCTTGACATGCCATTTAAGAATTTTCTTGGACAGTGCATATAAAGTGAGGATTAGGATTTCATTAACCTGATGCAGCAATGGTGATGAGTTGACTTCTTTCCAATGGAGGAGCCCACTTGACCCAAATTGAATACTGACCTGTTGTTACCATAACCTAAAAAGGAAAGAAAGAAAGCAGTCGTTCTGGTATGCCGATGTACCTTCTGGGTTCTGTATTCCACCAGTACTTGGAAGACATCTGGGTACCTGGGAAATGCCTTGGACAACCCGAATGACAATGAGCAGTGCCACTCCAGTGCCAGCGACCAGTGGAATGAAGATGGTCAAAACCGAGGAAATGAACAAGCCAGCACCAACCACACGTTTGGCGCCAAATATTCCAGCCACATAACCATTACAGATTGGAGCCAGGAAGGCGCCATAGTTCAGAGAGCTGAGAATGATTCCCTGGATTTCAGGACTCCAGTCATACACGGGGCCCTAAAGGACACAGAGAATCTCATTATTTATTTGTCTTTGGTTAAAGGGATGACAGTCTTTATTGTGAGATCCTAAAGGCAAAATAATAATAATAAGTTCTTCCTTTTACCTATCCTCAATGCCTCTCCTGTATCACTCATTAAAAAAAAAACTAAATATGTGCTCAATTCCCTCTTTCAACTTACCATAACAGAATTAACCCACAAATTAAAATATGTAGAAAGTTTATAAAATAGGCAGCATCATAAGCAAGGTAATTTTTTTAAGTAAAAGAAATAAACAGAAAGTAGCTATTACTCTGTGAAATTTATTTGTAGAAATTTTGATCACACAAAAGTTGTGCACCATATTTATTCTGTCTATACTGAGAATCCAAGATGCTGGACTATGCAAAGAAGAAGGCAGCATTAGGATTGGAAGAAAACTCACTAAGAACTCATAATGTGTTAGTCTGGGTAAACTAGGGAAACAAATCCACAGACACTCATATATATGTATGAAAGAGTTTTATCTAAAAGGTAAGCTTCCATTAAGAAAACATCCCAACCCAGTGCTGTCCAAGCCCATAATACGTCCAACATTAGGCCATATGCCCGACACTGATCTACAAAGTCCTCCTCCATCTCACAAAACAAACGCAATGATGTCGACTGCAGGAGGAAAATCGACTCAGTCAATGTATAAGCATCTCAGCGCTGGCAGGGGTCTCCACACAGCTGCTACAGCACCCAGGGATGCATCAGGGTAGGTCCATGTGGCTTCTCCTCAGGGATGTCTTGCAGGAAGTGAGCCTTGCCAGCCGAAGCAGGGAACTGGCTAAGGCAGCT